GTGGGGCGCTATATTTTTCCTGGGGTTTAGTAATGTGTAACTAATCGATGCATGGCCAGGATCTCTAAGTTATTGGTTTCTCGTGGAGATCATCACTGGAAAAGCGAATCGACTTCAGGGCAGGTGGTAGGGATTTGTGGGAACCCTGCCTGAGTGCAAGGTAACCAAACTGCAGGTTAGTGATCTCCAACAAACGCTCCTTACAATAATGTCAAACCATTTGTCTGCAGTTGACCTACCATTCCACGACCGATTCTCATTTTTACACGAGGTCGTCGCTCAAGCACGAAAACCTAGGTGTATAAGCAATTCGTTCATACTAGAAAGCATTCCATCAGTCACATAAATTGCTTCCCTCCGAGAAGCCCGATGAATCAGTCACCACCAGATACCGTGAGGCGGACTGTGTGAATGAAGGATGAGTAGAAGCTATTCAAACTGTTGATTAGCAACCTCTAGTAAATGATCATAGTCATCCAGCTGTAACGTACTTTCAGTGCCTAGCTCCTATGCCACTTGAAGGAAGAACGGGGACTGAGATACTACCAGCTTACCCTAGTGCAAACACGAGCAGTCGATATGCCGAGGTTAGGTTCGAACCATTGACCTTCCGTTCAGCAAGTTCGCCCCTTAACCACTGAACTGTCCTGGTCTCAACAACCTATGGTTTCCAGACTCCTATCTGAGGAATCGCCAGCCCGAACCTTCAGAGGTTCGTGTACAGTACTTATGACTTCCAACAAGCTTGGATCAGTTATGCAAAGCTTGTCCGTCTTCTAGCATAGTTTGACCTCTTTTACAGAATGGATTTTGGTATCGGTAATGATTCGTGGTGATACGGTCCTGAAGTTCCAGAGAGCACCTTGTGAGCCCTTTATGTCACGATTGTCGGAGAATTGTACGGTTTACCCGTCTTTCATCTACCATTTGCATTGTCCTTTCCAGTTAGGCCATTTGTTTCCAGGTGGTGGGGTGCTGTCCTTAACCGTTTGATGCCCAGCTTCTGCAAGCAACTTTTAAACTCTTCTCTCTCAAAGTAAGATCCCAGCTCCATTAGGATCATTTTTGGCACCCCGTGGTTGGCCACGATGTGATGCGTTACCACTCCGCTGATCGTCGTCGCCCGTTGATTTGGCACGACTGCCGCCTCGACCCACCGCAACAGGTGTTCTGTCATTATCACGATATATTGATTTCCGCTGGTCGTCACCGGAAAGGGCCTCATGATGTCAACAGATCATAACTCGCCGATTTCTGAGACAGGAATGGCTTCCATGGCACTGGTTGCACGTGTCTTATTCCCTTTCATCAGTTGGCACTGCTTACAGGACACCACATAATCCATCACCTCACTTCTCATCCCGGGCCAGTAGACCCTCTGCCGAAGTAAGTCGTACGTCTTGGTGCACCCTGTGTGTGCTATCTCGTAGCGTTCGACAATCAGCTTCCGTCTCAAGATGCAAGGTATCACGGACAGCACGACAGAATCGGTGGCGCTCCAGGGGTGACTCCGACGGTTTGGCTCATTTTTCGACGTCATCAGTTCTTTGGTCGTAGATCCCGCATCTAGGCCTGGGCAACCTGGCAGTATCTCAACCTTCGGGTTGCATGGCAGTTAGGCACCGAATGCGTGCAACAGATGAACGATTTTTTTGTCGTAGATCAGGTGGCTGTTGACCTGTTCGCCGAGATTGGCAATTTGCTTGCAGACGTCTCGTCAGCAATCGTGCAAGTATCGTCAGTACGCGGAATGATCTACAACTAATTAATGCACCTGGACTACCAATATTTCGATGTATTATTACTTCTTGTGTGGCCTCCTCGTGGATACTTCAGACTCTGGCATAGTGGTAATTCGCGAACTCTTTGTCATTGAGTCCTCCTCTTTCTCGGGTAAATTTCTCTGGAGGTTGTAAAACGCTACTCATGAGGTTGCTGAAAATTCTTCGGAAAATTTTCTCTCAAAACCAAGTTTGTTTGCAAATGAGCGTATTTCGCTAATTCTCTAGAGGCTGCTTTTAGTCTACCTTCGAACCGAAAAATAAAAGTGATGAGTGTCCAGTCCTGACACCTTTTCAGTGCATAGTTGATATGTAAACGGAGGAAACCCGAAGCCTAAGTGCTGTTAGATTGTCCAGCCCCAGCCACGAGCAGTGGAAAAGCCAAGAATATATTCGAGCCATGGACCTTCTGGCCAGTATCTTCGCGTCCTAAATACTGAACCATCTAGAGCTAGGCGCATCCGATTCCCTAGAGATGCCCTTAAGTCAAAATGACAATGCTGAGTTAGCAGCCGCTTTATACGTAAAGTAACAGGTTGAGATGGAAGACAGTATATGCTTCTTGACACATTTTTGTGTGGTATAACTGTAACTGTATCCCTCCAGAGGATTTCAGATACCCTTTGATTCATCTACTTTGACTTTTCATTCATACAGCTACAACTGGAACTCCAACGTAGTTGTCAACGCATTCTTCGCACAGATTCACACAAGCTGTTCCAGCGGCTGCTGCAAAGTCATGCCAAGGGCATTCGTGTCGAATCCAACGGTCTTTCATCCTTCCCATGTGCTGTGTGTGCCCAACCACTGATTAAACTTCGGTCAGGAGGTGCTTCGCAAATAAGTCCTACTTGCCCTGGAGACCTAAACGATTCAAACTCGTCAGACCAACCGTACACTGTCTTTCGTTGCAGTCATGTGTGTCATTCTTCGTGTTTACGATCTGGCGAAACACGCGTTTGCCCCATGTGCTCCACTTCCTGACTCCAGTTCCGGGACTGTCATGCTCACGCACCCATGTCTTTTCGATGTCATGATTTCCAAATTTTTCATCCCTATTGACTTTGTACTTTCGAATTCATGTTTTTAGATCACAATATAAAATTGGACTTCGACGTCGTGATGAAATATATACGTGCATTGTAATCGAAAGGATGATAGTTTGGCACGATCTTAATCTAATGTTCTGAGATGGTGCTGAGTGTTCCGTATCAGAAACATGTGTGCATTTTGGTTTTCTTTTTTTTCGATATTTTTCGTACTCTCGGCTGGTAAATTAATATCGAACGGGCGTTTGAAGGGGAGCTGAAGCGACCCAAGTCTATAACGATGAATGTGCGAGTATGAGTTGCGTAAGCCCAAGAATCCACACCGGATACCGAATGTTTGGCGTGGTTTGTACCTGTGCGTAGGCCTTTGCGCAAGTACGTCTAGGATGAACCTGCGCTGTGCGCAAAGGATGCGAAAAGTCAAACCTTGTGCGGTCGTGTTAGGGGTTGAGTGAGCCGAAATGAAAGGCTTCAAAACAGCGACAAAACCAAACAACGGTTTTTCGGACAAATAATACTAGTAGAGAACGGTCCAAGTTATCTTAATTGGGAATGCTGATTAGCCGAGGAGGCGAATGAGTAGTATACGACTAGACAGAAGAGGACAATGACAACCCTGTGTTTTTCGTCATAAGGCCTCATTCGCATAAAAAAACTTACCGCCATAAAATTTAGGGGAGCTACTCTCCTCTCTCACCTTATTAGCGATGTGTGAAAGGAGCTTCCGAACTTGCATCTGTGTTGAGATCAGTGGGGGATTCCAAAAAAACATTATCAATGTGGACGATATTCGAGTGCCTGTTTCCGAAATTGCCATTCTGAAGTGGCTTTCTTATGCTGACATATACCAGCTCGATCCCCTTCACACACATGCGCTCACCGCATCAGGCGTACTGGCCCGTCCAGATGCGCAACTTCAACCTACGAAGGTTGAGTATGCCCTCTCCCTAACTCACTTGGGCAAACCTACCCAGCTATTGGCGTTTTTTGAGATCATGAAGTCTGAGCGGTTTCTCTCTTGTCGACCTTGGAGTGAAAATGGCCTGAAAACTCCATACGATAATCCGTTGCGAGGGGTGGTTTTTGTAAGTAGACACTTCCAGGGAAACTTTTGTTTAGCGAAATGATGTGCAGTGTTGTTCCACCTTCCCTATGGGCGCTAGTGACATTTGATGAAAATCACGTTTCAGAGCCCAAAACCTTAAGGAAGGGATTGTGTCCTCGAAAACAGTGCACTTGTTCGGAGAGGCCACGGTAGCGTTCCTTTCTGAAAATACGATGCTACTGTAATATGTTAACGGAATGCATGAATGGAATCCAGTTTATGATTGGGATCTAGGACAAAGGTTAAGGCACGGGAAACCGGAATTAGTCAATTTCAATCTAATTCACAAGAGACTAAAGTGGTTTCGAGTCTGTGTATCTTGACGTGCGATCCACTAGAAAAACGTATTCTTTGGTTGTTGGTCTGTTCGCCGAGCTTGGCAGTTGGCTTACAAACGTTTCATCACCAACCGAGGTGACATCGTCAGTGCGGGGTTAAATGGGTCTCAATCCCGCGTCAGAAAGGCGAATGACTTCCTGAGGTCAAAGGAATGATATACAGTCGATGGTTCTGGGTATTGGGTTTTAGACCTACAGTTCAAATAAAAGAATTGTCGTTCAGCCTTAGCACCCTTTCGGTGCCTAGCTGCCATACTAACGGAAGGAGGGACGAGGGCTGGGATAGTGTCAGGTTGCCCAAGCCTACACAGGAGCGGCCGTAATGATGAGGCTGTGTTTGAACTACGAACCTTCTGGTCCGTTAGCTGGCGCCTCACTGAGCTATATCGAGCTCTTACTGACCACTAGTTGACTATGTTCTCATAGGGCGCATGAGGTATTTTGTTAGGCGTTCTGTGATTCTTCGAAAATCATAGTCGGACTTCGTTGGATCGTCACTGAGTTCAGCCAAGAAGTTTCCCACCGGAGTACCATCCATGTCATCGGCATCCTGTATTATAGGACCTATTGAGTCGTCAAAGAATTCCACCGTTAGAATAACGTGTGTTTCTCTAAGCAGATAAACGACAAATTGCGACCAGACTGTATCGCACACGAGATAATTTTAGGAACACACCTACGCTCGCCCACATGCTCTCAGCCGAATCGAACACCAGACAAGACAGAACAGCATTAAACAAGAATATGATAGCGGGAGCAACTGACATCACCGGACGATTTGCATGTGTACAACATAAGCTCACGTCCCTGACTGGGTAGGGACGAATGGATGGACGACAGGATTGGTTCACAATACGAATCGGGATTGTAGCAGCATTAAGTCAATCATGGGGCTACATCCCCATGCACGAGAAAATCATAGGACGATCTGATAGTGTGGGCCCACTGGATTCATAAGGCGCTATGGGTCACACCCGGAACATAACATGGAAATCATAATAAAGGGAAATTAGTGGTGACCGTAACCAGGGGGCGGGTGTTCAGAAGAAAAAAAACTGCCGAGACGGAACAAATCACAAAACTAGGGGAAAACGGGGCACATATTGGAATTCACACTAAATTGTTATGAATCTGCGCTGGAGTTGCGGAGCGAAGGCTTGGCGCTAATGGCAACAGGTGTGAGATCGAAGTAACAGCGGACGTTGTCGAGCGAACGCAAAGTAACCCAGAGTGAAACCAGATATAACGGCAACCAACATGTAGACGTTGTAGGTCATGACAACCAACATGAGCATGTAGGCTATAAACATATGAATTAGATGTAGCAGTGTTTGTACCATGTGTAGTCCGTCGAACAATCTGTAAGACAGAGGAACGATGATCGATGTGAGCAGAATTAAACAAAATAGTTCGATTCCATGAGAGCAAGTCGCACCAAGTTAGACGAATCGGTTATACTGACATCGAATCACCCTCGTTAGGCAAAGTCACGTGCAATGTGGATGGACGGGACTGGACCCAGTTGGGGCGTAGAAAAAATGACGTGATAGAGCCAGTAAATGAAAACCATTATTGAGCACCTTAATGCAAGAGCCGATCGCACTTACAGGATAAACAGTATATGCAGCACAACCTACACTGAAGTGACTTCCAACTAAGCAACTAACTGACCAAACCTAGAGGGAAACTGAACGTTTACCGAAGAAAATCAAACAAAAAGTGGATTGCAATCTGATGCAATAGCTTTGATCTTCATGTCTGTCTAACCAGGTGGACAGACAACCCAATCTCAACTCACACTGAATCTCCAAAACGGTTGAAAAGCTACAAAGATTTACGATGTCGGAAGTGACCGGGCTGGAAGCGAAAGCAATTTGCGGAAAACTGAAAAAAACGTGTGACCAACTTGTGATCCGAGACTAATAAGACCAGAAAACATAAAATGGAATATACAAAGGATACAAACTAGCATAGGAAAAGAGATGCAACAAGTAGTTGGGAATTAGTCGTATAAAGAGTTATCCAAATCAGGCTAGTTCGCCCATTCTACAGATTCGGACAGTTTCAAATTCAACCGGAGGCGCATCTGTCCCTAAATAACAATGTTTCGTCTTAGTGAGTTCATCACGTGTATGCAAGGAACTCGCAAAACTCGTGGAATAGGAAGTATTGGTCTCACACAAACTCCACATTAAGCTGAGTTACTTGTCGACGATGGGCCCATATCGCAATCAATGGTGCAAAGATAATCCTGCCCCATGAGCAAAACACAAGTTTACATTACAAATATAATCCTCGGTTGAAAGTGTTGGTCCAGGAGTGTAGCATGAGCCAAATTGTAATGTGTACATTCCTAGATTAGAACAATTATTACTGCCACGGTGCCGACAGTGGGCAAGATGATAGGATAATGCATCGATCCATAGATTATTTATCCTATCAGGACCGGTTCCCCCTTCGTTGCGCATCGTGTTGGTCATCTAGTGGAGACTCGACAGGGAACCTGAAAGACACACAAGACGATGGCATCGGAACTGAGTTGGTGACAGCCCCGAAATAGGATTGGTAAAGGTGTCTCAGAATCGTCACACTATGTTCACTCCACATGCTACTTGTTTTTTTTACTTTAAGGTTTGAATGATAAATAAATAAAGTTTGCAGTAGCAGGGTAGCGAATCATCAAATTTGATTTTTATCTGGAACATGATGAGAGGCGCAATTTGTAAGGATATGACCAGACTCTAGTCTACGTACCTTCGTAAGTCATTGTAGAGAGTCTGAGTAAGTGATTGGTCGGTTGTTCAACGGCAAAGTCAGATGAGCTGGTGCTGATTGACTCTTCAAGCGGCGATGTCTCAGTGGAAGGCCCAGACAACAAATAGACAACTCCGCAGTATTGATTTCCGGGCTATCACCTCATGAACGAGAATCCCTTAGCAGTATCTCAAGTGTACACGAAAGTTTTGACAAGATTGCGCAGTGTGCACATGATTTCGGTATGCACGTCAGTCATCAGGATACGGACTCTCTCGAAACCTCGATGCCTTTTCTTATCAGGTCATATGACCTTTATACTGATCGGAAGGTTCAAGGTTCGAAGCGATTTTTGGCATCCCGACTGCTCAGTAGTTTTAATAACAATACCTATTATTCAGCCGGGGAACGTGTGGTGTAACATGCGAGTGGCACATGTCTTTGATTACGACGATATTTAATCTTCCAGGTTTCCGTCCTTGCTACGTTTGAAACATCTTTCTTTTCAAACATGCATTAGGCTTGTTTTTAGGCTGACATCTGCCTCCGCCAACCGATCGATTTTATTGAGCAGGCATTTCACCAAGGCTTTAATTTCCTCACCTTCACTGGCACATTGGCCAACAGGATTGTGCGTGATTCGTGCATCACAAGATTCAACCGACTAGTGGGTTTTGAGAAACGCATCTGGTTCTCGAGCAGTGACGACACAGTTGGATCGAACTGAGAAGCTACTGTTACGACATGTAACCAAGACTAATGCCACATTTCTAGAGTAAACATGAACAGGTCACCATGAGAAATGATAAGAGAAAAAAGCATTTAAGTACCAATTGACCATTGAAGTTACGTGCTACAGAGGCTTTCCGTTAAACAGACCATTAGCGCAGTAGTTTGTATATGCCATCATTAACTACATATAACGATGTGCTTCCCACAAATCTGATCCACTCAGATTGTTGAACGTGCCATTTTGGTTGAATCGACTAACCAGAATTTGCATCAGTACCAAAACACACGCACCTTCAAACAGCGTACTGATAGTATCACTCGGCTGGCGATGGAATGCCTGGAATCAAATTTTCCAGCTCAGTGAACGTACACATGCCCGCTATAATGGGCTACCATTCGTCGCCAGATTATCCCGCCACGCCGAACTAAGCTGCTGCAAACCTGTGCACAGTGAGCTAGGCTGAAACTGAATACCGACTGGTGTAAACTCAAGGGAATCCGAAAGGTGAGCAAGAGAGGGCACGCCAAACTGGTGGTGTCAATTCCAGTGGGTACAACCAAATAGTTGAGTCCCAGGGTGACGCACCTCACTCCCAGGGACATACGGGATTAGCTAGTACCATCACCATCCAACAAAGTCAGTATGACGATTATCACCTCTAGCACCCTTGTAGGTTTAACAGTTCGGATTGCACAGTGGTAGTCTTTTGAAGACAGATGGACTACAATACAACAGAACACAATAAAGCAAAAGTCAAAAATAGCACAGTGTAGTACATTCTACAAGTGCTCTGGGTGTTCAGTACACTCTGGATACCTTTGGTGGTTGTTCTGCCAGAAACACTAGCTTATGAGGACCAGAGGGGCAACCGAACTGGAGCATAATCAATATTTCACTTTACAAGGAGCACCTGGTATTTGTACAATGCAGAGAACCGATGCAGTCAAGCTATGTCCAGCTCTGCATTGTCACAATCACACACGCACACAAAGCACAGACGAAACGAGTCGCAGCTGCAATCGGATCAATCGACGCTCACCGTGAAAAGAAAGTAGTCGCACTGATGTGCGACGGCAGTAGCGCAAGTATTTCGGAATTTGAGTGGAATGATACTTCCGTGCTGTATGGTCATCTTAATACGATAAAAACAAGTGACATCGGGTTATTGAATTCATACCGACGATAGTGTCAATGTCGCCACATAGATTGTTTTTATTGCTGGATACCATGTAAGAACACGCAACAGGGTGAAACTAGCGAAAAATGAAAAAAAAACAGGAGTAACCATAGCTCACAATGCTGGAAACGGGCCAGGTATGAGATAATGAGGGAAACAGGGGTCGGTTATCCGACAGGGTTGTCAACCGGAAGACACATCAAACAACGATAGTTTACGGTTCGTCAAAAAGGCCGTTTTTGTGTCAGATTCAGAGTGATGTAAACGGAGGTGGCCTAACTTCGTCTTAACAGAAGGACGATAGTTTGAAAGCTGCTGCTAAAGCTTATCGTGTAAGAAGCGCGCATATGATGTACTATTTCAATGAAGTCCTCGTTTTCAGCTTCGACGCATTCGCTTTGAACAAGTTATGGTCGTATATGTATCTATGTTCACAAAGATGGCTTGTTCGAATAAAATAGTGTGGAACCAGTGTTCCACGAGCGTGTTGTTGATCATGTCAACGTGTTTTCGATGATTCGCCAAGAAGAACAGTGAACAACCCCGTTAACTATACGTTTGATTACGGGGCATACTATGCGACGGCGGAACGATGCACCATGTACCGGATCTTTGCAATTCACCATTGGTGAAAGAGCGTTCGGAAGATGATTCGATTGCAAATTGTCAGTGGCGTTGAACAAACGCTAAATCAGGTTGTCTTTACGATAAGATTAGTATCAGAGTGAGCAGCCATTGTAAAGTGCATATCCCATGAACAAAGTCAGGGTTATCATACACCATGTTTGCACCGATTCAACGGAGAATTACGTATGTAACTAAAAGAAACCCTTCGAATCGGAAACAGTGCTACAGACTAATAAGTATGGTGGGCATGATAGAGGGGGAAAAAATCATCACCAAACAGTCACAGGCTCGATAAATTTTCTGTAGCATATTGTGACCAGACATGAGTTAAATTCAAAATTCGGACACCGAGAGAATACGAATAGGTTATTGGTACAAGTATTATTCAGTTGAGCGGATCTGGTAAGTAACCAGCGAGGTGAATAAAACTTTTGTCAGCGTCAACATTGTGAAAACTAGATTAGACAGCGCTACAGAAAGTACAGGATTCCGGACTGAGCTGCGGGTAGCCACGTTGAGGTGAGGCTAACAGTATGTGACACGGAATAATCATTTGTACGAGATTCATACAATAAACGCCAACTGACGATCCGATGCAAAAATAACACAAACATACATCTAAACACAATTGGTGATGTTAGGAGGAATAATACATTCAAATCCGCAAGCATAGCAGAGATCAGACAATAGTCAGTTCACCGATGCTGGTTCACCCAAATCGTGCGGTCTAGCAACATAACCATAACAAATGGTGCAAATAACGGGTGCACAGCTGTCTTAACAGGTCACTAGACAACAAGTGCCTACTTGACCGGAGGACGCCTGCGCGAAATGAAGGTATCGTACGAGAATTCAGTAAGTGGGAGACGAGAAAGGTTAAAAAACTATGTGCTACGGAGCTTCATCATGCTCGGCCACCATCTTTTGATGCGAATGAGGTCACACAGACCCACGACAATCACAATCTGGTGCTAAAAGTAACTGTAAGGAATTGCGAATCTTCCGGTGAAAAAAACTCAGTGGCAACTATGAAACCAGTGGGTTTTCCGGATGAGTTAGCAGTCGCAACTGCAGAGTGAAACTCAAGACTTACAGACAGGATCATCAGGACTGAGGTGTTCAAGACAAAATCACCTGCTCCACTTTAACTTGTCACGTTCCATACTGCCAGTGTTTATCTCATTCGTAGATGGTCAGAAGGTATTTAAATTTTGGTCCGACAATACACAGTTCACCTCAGTGTGATAGACTGGCTGTGTGTTATGGTGGGAGAAGTGAGTCATGCCATATTATCCGGGAGTGCATTTAGTTAAAATCCATTGGAAGGGCTTCATCGAGCTGTATGGCAAAATTGAACCTCAATCATGGGTTCCATCAATCAATCACGGATTTACCAGACTGTGGTCCCACGCCAACCCGCTTCACAGATGCGACACATCCCTTAGTCTTTAAAGCGTCTGAGGTATAGTATGAGACATGCGGCGATAGTCTGCAGTCTACTTTGCTCTTTATGGTAAAGTAACTCCGCTTTTAAATCGTCTCCAAAGATGAGACAATTCATGAATGAAAATGTCCGCTTGTTGTCTCATACAAAGCGAGATAAGCTATCAACTTAGTTACGAAGAATTCTTTCGACTGCCAGCTACGCATATTCTTCCACGAAAACATGACATTCTAGTGCTTGTTAGGGGTTCCAGTCTGTCGATCAAATTGCCGCACATTCCGTCATACCAATGAATACTTACCGAATACCTACTTGCTAACTGAAACTACAATGTGGGTTTCTATGCTACATGTCACTCTTTCTGCTCTCGAATGTTGCAGCTTTCTCTCGCCTAGTTTACCAAGAATATACGGGTATACCTTGAACACGAATTTCAAGCACATACATAAATCACTTTCTCCAACTGATCTTACAATCAACAAAGGTTTCCTGAGCTTAGAACAAACCACAAAAGTGAACCAGAATCAATGACAGCACAAAAAAGAAAAGCTAGGTGGGTGCAATACAGCGTACGGCACTTACTTGTCAAACTGACGCAATCGAAGAGTAATCAAGAGACGAGAATGCGAAGATTCCCCAGCATTGCCTGGTTCTACTAATCCCTTGGTAGTATCGTTCGATGACACAGGACATGACGGACAGGAAGGGCCAGCCAGAGGAGTTGTATTACTATCGTCAACCACCGTAGGGCATCGATCACGACAAGCAGCCTTCAGAAGCAGCTTTTCCCGAAGCGCCTGTAGTGCAGAACAGGTTGGGCCCCGGTAGAAAGATGAGTTTACACACTCGCGATAACTCAGTGATCATTGTGTCAGCTACTGGCAAGAGTACATATGATTCAAACTGATTCCTGACTTTTCAAACGCTCCTGTCTAGGCTTCAGTGACCTGGTTACAAAAAGAAGATAACACTGATCCAACTGAACCTTCAGACTGCCTTTGCACTACACTGAGGATTAACCTGTTTGAGTCACACGTTAGCACTATCTCAGTTTACAAATGAGTAGTTTAACATCCTGTCCTTGGTTTTCGGAAGAAAACCTGCGTGAAATGTGCGAAAGGCTTTGGTAACACTCAATAGCTATCAATAGTGGATCGTGCACAAAAGTTTCCAGTAATTGGACTTGATCTTAAAACTAGGCCAAAGGGGCGATCATGTGCAATGTGAGTATCATTTCCGCCTGTGACCAGACGGACTCACGTACAGACAGACGTAGATCATTACGATCACGCGCCCTTGCGTATGGACTGTGTAAACCCAATCAGAAATCGCGCAAAAAGAGTGGAACAGAAAAAAAACAAGCAACTTCGAGCTGCGGATCATGCGCCCAACAGGGTTATGTTTGCGAGCACAAGGAATCTGTCGCCGAGGCTATAGCGAAGGTACGGTCCTACCACAGATCCAATGTTTGGAAGAAGTTGCCCAGGGGGTTTCAGGCGTGCGTTGCGCTACCTGACTGGCGGGTCAATCGATCGTCACAACCAGGACAGTTACTGGGTCGTCGTTCGATTAGTCGCGCACACCAATCACCGCTCAGGTGTGAACACGTTCGCCTGTTCAGACGTGAAAATTCAGATGCGTCCAACGTGCGTTGGTGGAGCAGTGGTTATATGTCAGACGTCCGGGGTTCAAATCCCAGCACGGCCATTGGATATGCACCGCTAACGAGCACTAATAAGAGCGAAACTCGAGTCCAGTGTTTTCCTTTGGTGTGGACTCACCGGAATAACTACGCCAGAACAGGAATATGACCTTTCAAAAGAGAGTGGTGACTATGAACAAAATACCTATCCCCCGAAACCCCAAAATTGTCTGGAAGAAGCCGGCTGGCCTGTACCTCAGACTGAGGTCTGGCGTCACATACAGCTTTGGATGGTGAATGCCTAATATTGGATTCCTAATCAGGTTTGGAAAAGTAAGATTTGGTGCATTTGTTTGACTTCAAAGGCCATGAGCGCTTCTCAATGGCCAAGTGATATGTACGCGTTTTAAGTGGGCCTGAAAAACCCAATGGAAAGTGGCAACATACAAGTATATGATTAGAGTCCACACGGGTATTTTACAAGTGGCGGGCAGCGACCGACTTTCGCCACCGGTGACATAGAAATGTATTTGGGGTCGAAACTGGTTTGTTTCCCGACACCATGTGGTCGGACAATTTCCAATGGTCCAGAAAACTACAGTACGCCATCTCCCCTCGCTGCGCTCATGTCTAATCGAAGACGACCACCAAGTTGAGCCCTCAGCACAAGAAATCATCGGGACCAAGCCTATCGGCCTGAATGCAGTGGTCACCAGCGTCCATACTTGTATGAGCTTTTAACCCGTTGTCAAAGGACACCTACAGCGTCATAGAAACGGTTTCTGACTAAGTAAAGCCTACAGCCCGTCGGAGCGTAAGCCTATACAATAAACGGGAAGTGAGAGACTCCCCTTTCTCGGGTTTCTTCCACGGATGAACCTCTGAATGAATCGCACACAGGCGATTATTAACTAGTGTCTAAGCACAAGAAGACGCTTCTACTCAATGGTTCAACACGATACCCACTCCCGCCATATACAGCCGTGGTGACCTCCACATCACCAGGGCTGCGAAAAAGGAAGCGGAGAGTTCAAATACAGCGCCTGTATCCTAAATGTTTGTTTCTGAAAAGTCACATAAATCATTCTGGAAGGAATTGGGCGTACGAATAAGGGTAGCCTGTTAATTGCTTGAATCAAAGTACGAATAATAAAGGCAGCTAGGTAAACTGGCTTTCGGTGTTTGAAAACTGACTTCGCGATATGAAGATTAAACCGAAGAGGGACGCGGAGATTTCAATCGAAGCGAGGCGAACCAACCGGCCTGTCCTAGTGCTCAGAGCTGACGAGTCAGAACTCACATTCGGTTGGGGGATGGAAGAGGGAATATGTGAGAGCGTAAGAAGGGAGACGCCAGCAGTAGCAGCAAGTAGGGTGGCTCGGCTAAGGGTATCATGCGAAGGCCGATGTGATACGGGATTATTTCTGGTTGTGGGAATCATGGCCGGACGCTTGCTGTGATGCGGTCAGGTCACCAACATCTGGACGGGAAGGTGGCCAGCCCCGAAATCAGGTCACCAACATCTGGACGGGAAGGTGACCAGCCCCTTGCCTTGCCCCGAAAAAAAGTCTGATCGCAAGGCAGTGGATGGGTGCCAACATATTACCACAGCAGTAACAGTTGCCAGGGCACAAGCCACCGTGCATGTAACAATTCACAGCTTTAGGTGGTCAAACCTCCATCCAGTGATCAGCCTGGCATTAGAAATTCCGGGTGACGAAGTCAAACAGCCCAGTGGGTGACGGTAACATATAAACCGCGACATCACGATAAGGTCCAGACTGCTTGCAGTATAGTGCTGGGCTCTAGACGATGGGTGGAAAAACTATCATTCGAGCCCATATCGGTCCACATTAAACCATGGACTGGTCAATTTTTGCTAACGCACAGACAGGGACGAGTATTTCTTCGAAATTAAGCGATGTTAGAAAAATACGAGGTCCTTTTCGGATATGCAATCTGCCCCGGTAACACCAAGTGGGAGAAACTATTCGACCGACTGAACAACGCTCAGAGCTACAGGGTACCTGCACTTATTAGCATAACTTTTATTCGGTCACTCAAATCCGACAGGAACGTAACTCACTGATTTTGGAGGTAGAGATGGCTGCGCTGCATACATAGAGGTAACAAAAGGATCAGGCTGGGTGAGACCTAAAAAATAACACTGTCTTTTTACAAGTTCACGTGATCATGAAGCGAAAGAGGAAAGAAGCATGCTACGCATTTATTCTTGTCCGACCTATCCCCAGGAGAAGTATCCCATGAGATTTGACATTCAGTTGCAAATCTAAAGGTCACGAAATTTGAAGGAGTGTCTCCGTCCACTGCGAAAACTGAAAACGTAACACACGAATAATCTGCTAGACTGATTGACCCGATTTCGGGTACGACACATCGTTCTTTCTACGCAGGGAAAAACCGACTCCCGTGACTTATACCGGAATAACTTGACCAAATCATGTCATGATAAGGTCACTGCAGAACTACATGGTGTCCCTCATGCGTGAAAAGTTAACTAGAAGCAGAATACGACATCAAATCTAGCAATATTCCCAACCAACTTCAAAAAAAAACTTCCGTCCTTTCAAATGTCTACAGTAAGGCGTAAACGCTCAAGCGGACGAAAGCACAATGGATCACAATGTTTTGGAACCTTCAACCCTGCTGGGAAGTTCGCGGGTCTTCTGACCGGACTTGAATGTTAAGGCAGAGAAACTTCGCATATGGATTCAAAACGCCTGAATAACGGTAAATTTGAGGTTAAGAAATACTCAAATGTCTCTTGGCGATTTCCACTGATGTTATGTTCGTAAGATGGCTGGCTTTCAACCATGTTGACAAAACTACTTCAACCAAGCTTTTCTTCAAACGGAATACCGATCTAATCGAAAAGATACGTCAGAAAGACAATCCTACCTAATACACTACTTAATGATTAGCAATTACAATCGACCATATATGACGAACACTGACTTAAAAAACGGAGGGGCAAGATAGCTCGGTGTTCAGAGCACGAATTTACTAAACGGAAAGTCCACGGTCCGAAACCGACATCTGCATTCGACTTGCAGAGCACGAATTTACTAAACGGAAAGTCCGCGGTCCGAAACCGACCTCTGAATCTCGACTTGCCCTGTCTAAGCTTGGGCAACCTGGCAGTATCCCAACCCTCGGGTTTCCTTCGGGTGGCATGGTAGTTAGGGACCGAAAGGGTTCTACAGCTGAACGACTTTCTGGCTTAAACGAACTCTGAGGTAGCATCTACACTAGGTCTCTGGTTGGAGAACAAAACAATGATTTGAGTCCCAAACACCTCAGTTCGCAAACAAGCGCTGAACTCCACAGGTGGTTTTCTGAACGTTGGTAGGATTATAGCACTGTTGAATGCAAAAGGTGAAGCGACATCAACGGTGAATAAGAAAACACGTGGCTGATTTAGAGAGCCTTTTGCTTCTCAGCTACCTGACGCATAGCAATTGTTGCAATTTCGGGGCGAAACGGGATGCAAAACCGGTAGGAGGGACTTAAGCCTGAAAGCCAGTTATTTCAAAAGTCCAAAGCAGCAATTCACCCACTAGAGGTTTGACACAGAGCCTGGAAGCCAGTTATTTCAAAAGTCCAGAGCAGCAATTCACCCTCTAGGGGGTTGACACATCAACGACAAGTCTACAACCCATACGTAGAGTAACGCTGTTTTCAAAACAATACAGTCCGAGGACAACGTGGGATGGATGGGCCATATCACCACAGTCCGCAGTAAGATGAACTAGGATGTCCCGTTGAACATTTCTAGTCGTAATGATATATCAGTGTCTCCTAGGATGGTGAGTAGTGGTCATAGTAATGACCTCACTTACACGAGTTCGAGGTACACTGAGCCTGGATCAGTAGTGTTGGTGACACGACCTGCTCCGCACGAAAGTCAAAAGTTACATCGGACGAAGAAGGAACCATAAAGTCATGGCTATCTCTCCTCAATAGGCGAGTCATATCAGGATCTCCGAAAGGCTCCTACTACGATAACGAGCTGATATCTAGTCAAATGCTAGCAGAGTGCAACTGTCTGTTCTGTGCGATTGTGTCATCCACCTGAGAAAAGAGACAATCATGTCATTATTTCTTCCAAAAGAGGATACTCTACAGAAAGCGATGGGGAAATTTAACCCCCAAAGGAAAGTTCAGAAACGACGGGACGACTTCCAGTTGAAAGCACAGACCGTAAACAAATATAGACTTACCGCACAGCATTCGTAAAACGATGCCAAAATGAAGATACCAATAAAAGCACCAACCAATTCTACGGTAGAAAAGCGATAAAGAACAAGTGAAATGCAACTGACTTCCGGGCGTGTCGATATACCAGGGTTCGAACAAGAGGTAGAATGGCGCATCCGTGTTGAAGTACATCTGAATAGTGTACCAATAATACACATATGGTGCTTACCTTCATACCATGATTCATAGACATCGAATGGCTGCCGATCATACTCATTTTGTGTTGCGCATGTGGATCAACCCCGGTGGTCGAATGGGCTCTGCCCTCGGACATATGTGCGTTATGATGCGCATGTAAGTCCATGGGATGACTTTAAAAGATGACAAAGTGCAATCAGATCACAGATCACAGGCCTGAAATTGTGTGAAATTCATCCGTTAGAGGGAAGCAAACAAGGAACTGAGTTGTGCATGATGTAATGGGGAGTGCCTAGGAACTCGATATAGCTTAGTGGTTACCGCTTCTCGGCATCTTGACTGCTCCTGTGTGGGCAACCTGGCAGTTTCCCAGCCCTCGTGCTTCCATCTAAGCTAAGAGAAATCTTGGGATCCGTGTGAATCTTTGCCATCCTTTCAGACTATAGCGGTTTGAGGCGCTACTGATCATTCGTCCTTAATCCACAGATTACTCTTTACATATCTGCACGGCAATAAAACTATAGGAATGAGGGGGTAATGCATGCTAATGAGGGGAATATGGGTAAAACGGAGGTGCAGAGATTCACATCTTATACGAATATTTAATACGCATCCTAGTAAAACCCTAGTTAACAAGCTTCTTTTGACGGATAATAATATCCGGTGGTGCTATACAACAATAGCGTTGAAGAGCCCCCGATGAAAAGTTTTGCTTCTTTACCGCAACCTTATCACTAGTAATGACGTGGAGGGAACAAATTGGTTTCTAGAGGGCCGCTATAGCAATCCTCGCTCATAATATGCGATAGGCTGCAGAATCCTAACCATCGTACGAAAAAGACATTTGAACTTCAATTAACGATGGTGTTTGAGGAGAGAGTAGCAGACCCGTGGAGAATAAACCGGGTTAGGTGTTGGCCTTGGCAGCACTGAAAATGTGCAAAACATACATTGCGTGAAAAAATTTAGGGTGCAAACCTGTTTGATAGATGGGTTTTCTGATATTCGAATAAGGAACGGCATGCCGGGAGGTATCT